CAATATTCATTAAATCATCGCCAACTAATTATAGTTGCCCAAACCATTGTCGCAAGCTGGACTACCAAATTAAGATTTAGATTACATTACATATTCAATGTTACCGGTACATGTAAATAAAATGAAATTGATGCAGTATGATACTGAGATAGAACAATAGGTTAATTGGAATATATTAGTTATCAAAGGAAGGTGAAGGATGTGAGCAAATTTTTTTTTTCATTTATCGAGTTCAGACTAAGAAATAAAAACTGTGGTTGTTATTTCACAGGATCATTTCAAAATTAACACGGAAGATTCTTTGTATCTTTTAATGTACACACCATGGGCGTTAAACAAGCTAGATGTTGAATTCATTTGATCACTGTGAAGCAGTCCGAAACTCGAAAATAAATCTACGGGTAGATGTTTCAATGATTGCATACAAAGGATTGAAACTACTAACGGTTGAAACGCATGGAAAAAAAAATTTGGTTTGGACGCAGAAGAAATTGTTATTAAGCCATGCAAAAACACTTAAATTTAGTCATACCACACTAACCATACACATGTTGGCCATTACCTTAACTTCAAAACTTAACCAAAGGCAGGATTCCTGTTCACACTAAGCATAGAATATGACAGAAAATTGATACTTGAAGAGAAGAATCCAGTAAGCTTGACTGCTCGAATAATTTCTGCAGGAACTTATTGGGATAGGATTTACATATTTATCTCAAGGGAAAGGGAAGACGACTCAAGCATATGGCGAACCACGCCTTTCGTCCGGGTATGGAGTTCGTTAGTCAGTTATTCGTTTCAGATGCACGGACTTGACACATTAAGGTTGCTTTGATTACGGGAACGGGATTTTTTGTAATAACCCCCACTAAAAACACCCCCTAATATTTTACTTTCTCTCCAATTAATCGCTGTTGTCATCGTATGGAATGTTAACGATCGGAGCGAATTCATCCGGCGGCAAAAAGCCGTTTCCTATCAAAGAAAACGATCACGATCTGGAAAAACGCGAACTGTAAAGAAACCCGAAAAACACAACTAATCTAAACGTTAGGTGTTTCTGAGTGTTTATTTTACTCAATTATTCAGTCCTAATTTAGTCGTTCCCACTTTTGGTTACTTAGTTTTTATAAATCAATTTTTGTTTATGCATATTAAATGCATCTTTTTATCGTACTTTTCTGATTTTTTTTTTTTCAATTTGTAAAATACAAAATCCTGCGCTGCGAGAACGACACTGAGCATGAGCTCCGAGGTCCAAGTTTGTATCGTAGCAACTGTAGAAAGCGCGTGTGCTACCTTTCCGCTGTGTAAAATTCGAGAAATGAGCAATCTACATACAGCATTAGAATATGTAAGTCAAAATCATGTGCAATGTACATACATGAATATGGAAGAAGGCATTTTAGAGCACCAGACATGGATGATGAAATTTTCGTTTTCCGTGCACGTGACTAGGGCTGGGCATTTTCGAATACCGTTTGATTTCAGAATCGAATCGAATATTTTTTTCGAATCGAATCTCGAATATTTGGAAATATATAATTGTAAGCGACTTTTTTGTTGTAATTGGTTCTCCCAACAAATGAATTACAAAAGACAAAGAATGCACCACTCAGATAGATTACTGAGCGTTCACACACAATAAGAAACACGTTTTATCAATAACTCACTACAGAAAATAGTCATATGTTACAACTGCGTTGAAAAAATATGACTTCAATGAAAGAAAAATTGGGGGAATTCACCCGGGCCATTGGCGGAAAGAAAAAACAAGATGGCGGCGATTTGACATTTTGCTCTGAACCGATTCGAATAATTTACTATTCGATTCGAATATTCGATTCAAAATGCCCAGCCCTACACGTGACTCATCATTCGAAGATTTGTGCATTCCGAAAGTCAGTATGTAAACAGCTATTCAAAGAAAACCCCATCCCAGTATGTCAATTACTGTTGGATAACGCAAACTTAGCCCCAAATAACCTGTTACCTGTTATAGTACCCAATATATACCCAATTGAAATATAAAAGCAGCGGGAAACATCTCAACTGTTTTTTTTATTTTTTTTTATTTGTTTGTATATTTTTCTTCTTACTGAGTAATTATTGATTTTATGTCTCTCTTTTTTCACTCCAACCTTATCATGTCTCAATGATTATATGTTTGTGTGTGTGTGCGTGCGTTAATTAGTTTTAATACTTTTGGGTGAACGAACACGTACTACTTCTTTTATCGATACCTCCCCACCCAAAATATGTACCCTTTAAACCTTGCTTGAGGTTTCGTTTGCTTTCCCGACACTATAATAACATGTACTGTAACATGTTTCACTTTTGCTCATGGTATTTCTTTGTGTGAGTATGTAATTGAGATTGCTTTCACTGTTTTAATAAATGATTTTACACCTCCATGTTGCCTGTCAATATTGACAGTGTTTGGATATTGTTTTGGTAAATAGTTCCAATGTATATAGCTTTTTTGCGTTTTTTCCTGTGTTACTAGTCACTATTTTCTTCTAACATTGGCACGCATTGGTAGATATTTGTATTCACAGCTATTTCAAGCTATTGTCACTCTATTTTTATTCCCACTATTCAAAACTTCATGCTGCTTTCCAACCATGTATTTATTTATCTGTCTTGCACATTTGATAGGTTTTCGGTGATTTTTTGCATTTCTGACAGCAAGCGATGTCTCCCATCGATTTTGACTTGTTTATTTCTATGCTATATAGGAATCTCAGACCCAAAATTTACAGCATTCGAGATCAGCTATATTTATATATATTTACTGCAAGGCTAATCCGGGCGATTTCTCAGCTACCATAATCGTATACGAACATTTGAAACATTATGTTTATATCAATCAGAGACGGAGGAGGTCGTTGGGATTCTATTACATTTAATTTTATCTACCTGAATTTTGCTGTCCTATTTCAGGCGCAACACTTATTTTGACTCCATGTAAATTATTCACTGATTCAAGCAATTATTTGGCTTTTATCAAATTAAATTGAGTTATAAGCACTGCCCGCTTTTGAATCGTGTTCATATTTTTTTGTATACTCGTACTATTCTTATTTTATTTTTTGGTGGGTGGGCACGTACTTGTACGTTTTTTAACTTTATTTTAAGTTATGCTCGCCTTCCATGTATCTCTCTATTTGTTGTCTGTTTACTTTTTTGTATTGTTCCGTTTTAGCCAGAGAGCCGAAATAAAATGATCGATTGGTTGATAATCAGTTTTATTTATTTTGTTTTTATGAATTATATACTGCATGCCCAATTACAATGATTAGTACCTGAACACTACGGTACGTGTCCAAATATAAACCGCGATACAAATTTGCGTTACATAACATTCTAAAGTATTTGTTTGTATATCCTATACCGGTACACTATTACATAATCAAGCATTCGTTACTTTACTTTTCAACAATCCTATTTTAAGCAGTTATTAGTATTGTTAACCGTTTATCTACCATTTCGATTAAACTTCTTTTTATCATTCTGTGAATTGCTTATCTGAGAGATTCGGATTTTACTTGTACACAATCTTGGGAAACAAGACTTCCAAGGACGAGTACGGCTTTTATTATCGCATTATCGCGGCGGTGTGGCTCAAGGGGCTAAGCGTTAGGAATACGCTCGCCACCGCACCTCTAACTACTCTGCGTGGGTTCGCAGGTTCGAATCCCATGCAGGGATGGTTATGTGCGAGAGGATTGCTGGACTCCTCGCCGTCGTTGGGTGGTTCACGTAACCGCTGGTCGGTTACGGCTTCCTCCACCACCAAGTCCATGCTTCCGAAAACAAACAATACAGTAAAACTAATCCCATACCCGACTTGAAATGGTAACCGGACGAGAGGCCGTGGTTCGCCATATGGATAAGCCGTCTTATCGGCTTTCCTCTCCCCCGGGATAAATATGTATATCCTATCTATTCTATATCTCCTAATTGTGCCGTGTCGATAGAGCATACTGGTATATTCACGATGAATCATATCTCACTCTCTCTCTTATTAATTACTTATCGATCTTAAGATCGGTAAGTATATTGATAGGTATTTGTCTGTATGTATGTCTGTATGTGTGTATGTCTGTCTGTTAGATGCACGCGATATCTCACGAAGGCGTGGTTGAATCTGCTCCAAATTTTGCATGTGCATTCATCATATCTCGGACCAGAAGCCTATTGATTTTGGATGAATTATGTCGTATAATTAGCGAGTTATTAATTAATTAGTGATGAAGAGATCTGGATTTTCACAAATCGAGAGATTTTCGAGACGCGCTGAATGTGTGTGTGCGTATCAGATGCGCAAGTTTTCACGCTAGTGAGTCAGAGCGAAGGATACACACCGCTAGATCGTATCTCGTGATTAATCTTTGAGCCTTGTCCATATCTCTCTTGTAACTTTGACGTCGTCGCGATGCGCAAGTTTCCTTCGAGAAATTTTCCACACTATTGAGTCAGAGCGAAGGATACACGCCGCGAGATCGTATTTCGTTACCTATAATTACTCCTTAAAGTTTAAGCAATGTCCATATCCCTAAATCAGGTTCGGGGTCGCAGAATTCCTCACCAAAATATCGCTAGGCTGTGTTTGAATAGCTGTCGCAACCTGGGTTAGCGCCGTTGTATTATCACAAACTATAGGATTGGTAAATACAGAAATAGGCTATTGGCTGGAAACTAATCGAAACAATCCAGTTCGGATTTGCAGAATTCTTCATAAAAGTATTTCCTCGAGTAGTATTTCGACGACAGTGGGAGTTGGCTATTGTTTCCTACATTTCTGATATTGGCTGAAAACTAATCAAAACAATCCAGTTCGGGTTTGCAGAATTTTTCGAATCGAAACCGCAGTTTCTGTTTTGGGGATCCCCTAACTTTCGATCGATAAGTCTTCGGTCTCTGACCGATATTCTCGTTAAATATATTGCTAATGCGACCGACTGCCACTGAATTTTAAAGTAATAAAATGCCAAAAATGTTTTGCTCCAAGATGCCATGTGGCGTTTTATTTATGAAAATACCATTTAAAATAAGGCTGAGTATTCAAATCCAATATAAAAGTTCAAATCTTCGATATAAAATCAAAACACTTTTTCAACATGCAACTTCTTGAAGTATAGTAGTTATAAGTCGTATACGAAGCATTGCTTCATATGGACACAGATAATCTAATCAGGACAAAGGAAAGAACAGCAACAAAAATGACAATCACTGATCGGAGTTAGTAGTGGACCATGACATATGTGGACAATAAACACATAACATAAAACTAATTAACATTTACTGTTTTCAATTAAAAGTCAGTCATATATTTCGCAATACTCAGCGAGACTGAAAATGGGGAAAAGCCAGCACGCAGATCCCCATTTTCAAGGCTCAGGAGAATTTTAACAGTCAAATTCACAATTAATTACCAAATAATTGAATCACAATTTCCTTGTTGAAATTCGGGTAATACCAGCACATAATTACCCGCATTCCACAAGGGTTCATCGAGAAAATTCCATTACATAAATTGAGTTGAAAAGCCGATGAGCGATAGACTGCACTGGCAAAGCACAGACTACACAAGGCTTAGTCTAGGTGTCCTACACGGAACATATAACATAAAAAGCAACATAAATACAATCGTCACAGTTGAAATATTGCGCTTGTTTGCGATATAATACTATAAAAAATTACAGAAACAACAATGTCTCATTTCATGAATTCTACCTCCGCTTTTCGTGAAGTGCAACTTATTATTTTATTTTGCAGTGTACATATTATGATTGCTGAAGGTTTCAGAGGTGCATGTTTCTTTCCAAACACAAATCCTGTTTTCACATCACTGACTTGAAAAAGTTAAGCAATATCATGTACCAAATTCTGCCATAAAACAACGTTTCTCAGCCACTGAAACAAACATCTCCCATTTTGAAACCATGACGCTGTCGACTGCTTTCTCCGAAGTCGAATGCTTTGTAGTCAACAATCGGCAATGCATCAAGATCTTCTGAGTCAATTTCCATCATCACTTCACCAAGTCCAGTGCCATTCTAAAAATGAAACGTGTCTCATAAACAATTTCATTTTACAGGAACACATGTCTTGATAAACACAGTTTCGATTGAGTATATATTAACATAAATAAACTTACCATGCATGTATCTCTGACAACTGTAATTTTGGGATCAGTTGAATGCTTGGTGATTTCCATTTCATTCGCTCCCATCAATCTAACAGCTTGATCAAAGTTTCCCTCAGAATCTTCCCATCCAACAGAATTAACACAGATATAGGTGAAAGTCTGTCTAGCCTTTGATGAAAGAAGGCGAAGAAATTTCATTTGTGTTTCTGGGATGTCATATTCGATCTGAAATAAATAATTATAATGGTTATATTGTGATTATTCAAGCTTTGGCACTGCATATACAAAACCTTTGATTTGAAAATCTATATCAAAAATGAATTCAACTGTAAAACGGTTTGAACATTTTAAATTGATAATGTGCATCACTACCTTGTATCCTTTAATGTATGAGCTGAACCAAGTTCCAGGAGTTGCCTTTGGCCATCGATGTGGATTTTGCTAAAAATGAATGTTCGATTAAAAGTCAGTCATATATTTCACAATACTCAGCGAGACTGAAAATGGGGAAAAGCCAGCACGCAGATCACCATTTTCAAGGCTCAGGAGAGTTTTAACAGTCAAACTCACAATTAATTACCAAATAATCGAATCACAATTTCCCTGTTGAAATTCGGGTAATACCAGCACATAATTACCAGCATTCCAGACAAGGGTTCATTGAGACAGTTGTAAAATGCTTGTCTGAAGAAGTCTGACCTCGGTCAGACGAAACGTTACAGAAATACATTTGTGTTAGTGTGCAGCAAGACTCTTGAATTGAATAAATGTTTATTATCAAATGGACACTTTTTTGGTCATTTTTCAAACCATGTTCTGAAGATTCCCACCCAGAATCAGATTTCGACAGCCAAGACGAATGAATAGAAATCAAAAAACCTTTTCCGTTCCTGGTGTCAAACAAGTTTCACCTTCCAATTCAAAATTGCAAAATACTTCGATGGCATCAGCATGGCAACCTCCATTTGGATCAATCCAGTAGGCCTCTGCAAAAAATAAAAACACATTACATAGCATTCTATTCGGCTATCATCCAAATAATATCATTCATAACAAGAGATAATTGAAATGTGCCCTGGTTAAATATACAATATTTTCACGAAAATGCATCAATTTGAAAATTCTCACAAACTCAAGAGCTAAAAATTTAATTTATGTTTCGTTTACTGCTATTTATTCAACATTCCACACTTAAGTTGTCTGTATTACTAAAATCTAAAATGCAACAAGTGTAACAGTAATTTTCTAAGACAAGATTACATAAGCTGAAATTTTGTAATTGATCTATAACTTTGAATTTACTGATTGAGCTTTTAAAGAAAGCCGTTCAGATCTAGAATAGATCAATATTTCAAATTTGTTCATAACATAGAAGATGTAAATAATACAATAAGACACAGGATTCAAACAATTTAAATAATTCTATGGGGCATAAGCAGTGATCAGTGTATCCGAAATGCTTGACTAACGTTTCTCAACCTGGTTTCATAACAACATTAAGTTCGACATAAAGAATGGCTTGCTCAGTATATTGTATGCAAAACCAAAAGTATTGTATATAATGTTGAATAAAAAGTAGATTCAAGAAAAAATAAAATTTGATGAAAGTTCCGATTAGAATTTCTCCCAACCAAAATTTTACCATAAAAACAAGAGACAGTTCGTTACTGTACTTACTAGATTCATAATCAGGATGACAGAGCCAGAGATCTTTGCAAGATCTAGCTGGGTTTTCCCGTGATCCATTCGGCTCAATTCCAATCTTTTCTTGCAGATCACTGATTTCTTGGGCAAGTGAATCAAGTCCCATAAATATTTCTTCCATGCCTTGTGGATGATCCTGGAGATTATTTTGAAAATATAGGTTTTATTCCACAACAAGTTGAATTTCGTTTCAGATAAGATTTTCAACTAGCATACAGAATTTCAGCTTTAAAAAGCTGATATTGATGTACTTGAACAGTGGTTCCCAACCACCGGGTGCAATTAATTCAATCTGTGGGAAATTTTTTTCTGCCCTCGCAGTCACTTGATTAAAGAATGAACAATGTTTCATAATAGAAGAGTCTTTGGTTATATATCGCTTAATTGAGTTACCGGTCCACCTGTTTAGGTTGGGGAGCACTATGTTAGAATACAAAAACATTTCCTTAAAAGGTAAATGCTTTGAACTTTTTTTAAAAGTGTGTGTATTTCCTCTTCTGCAGAGACAGAAAACGCCTAAATGTATCATAAGAAAATTATAATTACACTTACATCCATTCTGAAAACAGCATCTCTTCTCTTTCTTGACTCTGCCTTGAAGGAGGATGCGCCATTATACGGGGATGGGTCATATGATTTTCCAGGTGGTCCGGGTGGTCCTGGTGGACCAGGTGGTCCTTCATTACCCTTCGGACCATGAGGGCCTTCAGATCCTTTGTTTCCTTTGATACCAAAAGATCCCTGTAAAGTGCAAAAAAGAGGTTTCAATGGATGTTTCCCCAAGCATCGACTTCCTTGTTTACTTTTTGTCATTGGCCTTTTCTCACTCAGACAGATTTTCAGGCTTAGTGGTAAACATTACCTCGTTTTTGCGTTTTTGAATTCTATTCGTTAGTTTTCAGTTGTGTTTCGGGAATTTAGATATAAATCAAATAATTCCATGATCACTTTGTCTTCTTAGGAGTTTCAGTTTAATTTCAGTAATTAAAAATGAGTGTAGAAATAGCTGTGATAGACTACGCTAGAATTCTTTACCGGTTCTTTTAAAAAACAGATTGTTGAATGCTATATATCAGAATAATGGTTTGTACCAAATACCCCATTCTACAGGCGCCAACTCGCGGAACCACTCTTAAAATAAGCACCGAAAATTTTGCAATGGTAAAGTATAGAAAGAATTTTCCGGGGGTTAACGGTCGGGGAAAGGTTCATAATTGGTGGTTTATCTTTGGGATCCTGTGGTCTATGCTTTGATGAGATCTTGAACACACAATGGATGTAAAGAGTCCATGGCAACATCAAGAATGTTGATCAAGTAAATAGTTAACAGAAAGAAATCACCCAAACCAAAAGTGTTTTAGTATATTTAATTTGTTGAAAAGTGAGAGTTTCTACATAGGATGGCCGACCTGCAGCCAATTATTTTGTTTGTGATATTTTGCTCAGAAAAAAATTCAGATAATGAAAAAATAGCTTACAGGCAAACCAGGAGGTCCTTGTGGCCCAATCGGTCCAGCAGGTCCATCTCTACCTTCATCACCTTTCGATCCCACCCCTCCTTCCGGGCCTTGTAAACCTCTGGAACCTTTGGGTCCTTCTTCTCCAGGTGGACCAATCAATCCCATCAGTCCAGGATGACCCTGCATATCAGAATTAAGAGTGACAGACTCCTCAACAATACCAATATTATATCTTTTAAATTTAGTATCAATATTTTCCAGAAATTGGTCTGCAGCACAATTTTGTTGTTTTACTCCCATATAGCATGGTACATCAGCACTAGTATAAACTAAGACCTGAAGCAGTCAAAATCTCGTTGATTGAGCAATAACTATACCTCAGCCATCCCCAATTTCTTGGAGGAAAAGTGAACAATAAATAAGTTGATGACAAAACGGCATATTAAGTCATCAATTAGGCCTACTCCAAATCTTTTTGCAGTATCTGAAAACCTGCATCCGAAAACAAATAACTGGCTAACTAATCCCTTACCCGAAATGGATTGATAACCGGATGAGAGGGGGGGTTAAGTCGTATTAACGGCTTTCCTTCTTCCCTGGGATGAATATGTAAATCCTATCCTATTCTATGTTGTTTTCATGTATAAAATTACCTAAATATAAAATGTCTCACAAACCTTTTGTCCAGGTAATCCCAGATTTCCCTTTTCCCCTCTTATTCCAGCTGGTCCCTGTTTTGAAAAAATATTGAAATGTGAAAAATATTGTAACATTATTAATCAGTACCGGTAATTTAATACAGTAACTTTGAGGCAAAAAAAGATTAATTTTTTCCTGCTAACAGTAATCTAAAACAAATTCGTCAGTATAATATTTTCAGTCTATTTCAATCAGAAAAAGCAGGACAGATAAAACTTCTTTCATATATGGTAAGAATACAGGTTTATGAAATTTGAATAGTTGGCATTCAATATTGCAAATGTATCAAATTCGCACATGTAATCTATACATCAGAGAAAGCAGCTGTGCTTATAATCTAGCCCAGTGGTCGGCAACCACCGGGCCGCGGCCCATCGCCGGTCCGCGGAAAGGTTACTGCCGGTCCGCAGAGAGGTGACACAAAAACGGACAATGCCGTAATAAAACCTCTACAATCTAACCACAAACCCTACAACTAAAAACAGCACTCAACAATACACCAGACAAACACATTACCAGGGGTCGGAAAAAATGCGGCCCGCGAACTAATTTGTTGCGGCCCTTGAACGATCCGACATTTAATAAATAAAACAAAAATTAATCCCAAATTTATTATTGTCTCTACACGGATTTATGTGGTGACAAGTGCGGAGCTTCTTATGTAACAAGTAGCGTCAGTTATATGTCGTTCGAATTTTGATTTTTAAAATTTGAAAATGTCTGGAAAACGGAGCGACGCGGGTCGAGCACTTCATAGTGCTTGAACGGAAAAATATTTTTCTTTTCTGCGCATTCCATAACAGGTTTGCTCGATATGCCTAGTCAGCATCGCAGTTGTTAAAGGTTTCAATGTTAAACTCGTTACGAAACGAGTCGTTGAAAATTCGAACACGAGACCCGGGACTGCGCCACAGCTCATCTGTGCGACATTGCAAAACGTGTAATGTGCACGTTCGGAAGAACTTATGGCCTTGAGCAGCTTTATCTAAAATGCATTACACTTAGATTAAATTTCGTACTCGCTTGTCAGATCATCATTTGGATGACGAGTTGCCATAATAACATCATCTTTCACATTGATAATAAGTACATAAAAACAATGTATTGTTGGATAATAATAAAACGCCACATATACATCTCATTGGGGCAGGCTTTTAACACAGCAATAGAAGGGTAGCAATGCGAATGCGCCATAATTTGAAGTTTATTTATGGTAGCGATTTTTCGAAGGCGGATTTATAGCGGCCTGCGCGCTACCGGAAATGTTTATAATTGGCCCGCAAGTACATGAAGTTTGCCGACCACTGCATAACACTATTGAGCAACATGTCTGATTTCATAAACAATTGCCATGTCAGTATGTCGCAATAATGCTGGGTCAATTGTTTTCTTCACACTCGTGTAAGAATGTCTCTCATCAGTCCGACTAAGATTTCCCCAACAAAACGATACAGGCATTGTTAACTTACCCGAAATCTTAATGTGAGGCATGACATTGTGGTTTTCAATATTGAAAACTACAAAAACGAAATAGGTTGAAAGTAAGAAACCCGTTACGTGTGTCAATGACGACCATATCTCAAATATGGGAACAGTTAATGGCCATCAAACAAATACAGACATCACATTAAACAGCATCACCGTCGTTTTTAGTATATTGTCAACATAAATTTCTTAATGCGTATAATTTATTGCATGGGGCTTAGTTCGTTTGTATAAAGGTGGTCCGCCAAAAGTTTGATCAAGGTTTACCGGTCCGTCACTTGGAAAAGGTTGCCGACCACTGATCTAGCCAATTGTCATATACGTCGATTGAAAAATAAATAAATAATAAATTCATTTCAAGTTACCTCTTTTCCATTTGGACCTGTTGGTCCTGGCGGGCCGGAGTCTCCTTGCATTCCCTGGAAATTACATTAAATTATTTTGATAAGAATTATGTTAGTCATTTCTAAATTCAAAATTATTGATATGCATGAAGTTACATAGTTTGACAAATGAAAATAATAATACTAAAAAGAAATGACTGCTTCCATAGTCTTGAATTTTATTCTAAACATGAATATTTAATATCTGTCAAATTTCCATCTAGTCTACATAGTCCCTAAAACTGGCCTTAAACAATTTCACAAAAAGTTATGAGAAACTAAAAATTGAAAAAAAGCACACACACCTCTGGTCCTGGTGGACCCATAAGACCATCATTTCCTTGCTTTCCTGGTTTTCCTATTGAACCTGGCTGTCCAGTTTTTCCCATGGGACCAACTTCACCAATGTCACCCTGAATTTATTAAAAACTATTTTACAAAAAAAAGAGATATGAGGAGATTATATGGACAATATCTCTCATCTGTTACATAGAATACTTATGGTAATCGACTTTTTGAAAATCGAGTGGAATTGGAAAGAAAAACGAGCATTCTTTACTATTGGGTAACCTAAATCAGTGGCTCAGACTTAAGACAGTCGGAATCAGTCCAAGTATTTTGCTGGCTTGACAATATAAGAGGATTCCATTACATGATCATATAAACTGTCCCAAAACCGTCAGAAACGCATAAAAACCTCAAACTTACCTTTGCTCCTTTTTCACCAGATCTACCCTCTTTCCCCTCTGGTCCTGCAGGTCCCTAAAATATAGCAGTGAGCTCAAATCTTAAATCAAGATTCATTTATCTCAAATAAATCAAGTTTGCCTCAAACCACAGAGTAAATCAACCAGTGGCTTGCAATTCTCGTGATGGTCGATCTTAAGTGATTGTTCACTTAAGTAAAATATTATTGATAAGAGAACAGATACTATATAATAATGCAAGTAACATTCAATAATTGAAGATAGAATTATATCGCTTCATCTGGCAGTATATCAAATTCACTTAGCTAACACAGACAGTCCCCGAACTCGTAATAGAACTAAAAATAGAAAAATCTGAATGAAATTACAGCCTAACCTTAATCTGGTACACATACTACGGGAGTACCCATTATGGTGCATCAGCTATTTTGAACCAATGTTACTGGTTAGTTATAAATAACAATTTAAAACAGTAATAACAGGTTAAAACAATGAAAATTACATACTCTTGGTCCAGCTTCTCCAGGAGGTCCAGAGTCGCCTTCAGGCCCTGGTGGTCCCTGTTATAAATCCAAATTAATTTCAGATCGATAATTACAAAACATATAGTAGCCTACTACTTGGTCATCAATCTGCTTGGTTCTAATGTAAATTCACAACATCAGATTTAAAAGTAACAACTGGAAGAGTTTTTATTTTTTGTCATACCAATACATGACATAATATCTTTAATCAATTAGTGTCTTACCCGTTCCCCTTGATCTCCATCTTCACCTTTATCACCAGCTTCACCGTCAACACCAGGAGGTCCCATCATACCTTGGGGACCTGGGTCACCAGGGAATCCAATTGGTCCCTAACAAAATGATGAAACAGATATTATAAAAATATCACAGTATACAAAAGTACCAGATCATGTTGTAAGCCCTAAACATTAAACCACAACAAGATGTAACAGAAAAATAATTATTACCTGATGTCCTTTAGGTCCATCTTTACCACGTGGTCCTCTCGGTCCTGGCTCACCTTGAGATCCATCTGTTCCTCTATCTCCTTTCGTTCCCGAGGCACCTTTTGACCCTGCTGGCCCCATATTGCCGGGACCTCCAGGTGCTCCAGGATTGCCTGCATCTCCTTTTTCACCAACACTACCAGGCTGACCTCTAGCTCCAGGTGGACCCATTGGACCCTGTTATGAAATGCATATTGATCACACTGAAAAAAAGACAAAAAAAAAGTTCAAATCAAATAAAAAACTTACCTCAACACCTGATGTACCCTGTGGCCCCCGCTGTCCAATTGGTCCAGGAGGTCCCTAAATATAAGAATAGTATAAACTAAATGAAAACACTTGTCTGGTGATATTGCAACATTGTTGGATTCACTGTCATGCTTCTGTTGCTGACAGTGGCCCACAAACAACAAATCAAACATGGAAATAGATATACTCACAAGTGGTCCAGTATCACCATTGTCACCCTTCAAACCAGTTGACCCAGGAATTCCTTGCAATCCTCTCGGTCCTGGGGGACCAGAGAAGCCACGAGATCCTTCATCACCCTTTGCTCCATGTAGACCTTGTTGTCCCCTTGGTCCAGGTTCTCCATCATTTCCGGCAGGACCAGGTTGTCCAATTGGTCCTTGTTCTCCTGGTGGTCCTGGAGGACCAAAGTCTCCTTTCGAACCTTTGAGCCCTTGCGCACCTGGTGGTCCAGTTTCACCTTTGTCACCATCTTCGCCTCTACCGCCAACTAGTCCAGTTGGTCCTGTTTGACCAGGGGGTCCTTGCAATCCATCTCTACCAGCTGGTCCAATAGCACCCATTTCGCCCTTTAAAAATCGTATATAAATAAAATTGACACTAGGCTAGCTGTTCAGCCCTATGAATACTATATTTATATTCAACATACCGGTTCGCCCTTTTCTCCCGCTGAGCCTGCTGGTCCATCCGGTCCTGGTCTTCCCTGAAATTATAAAATTCGAATAAGCAAACACATCACAAATCTATGCATGGCAATCATAGCAAACACTCACTGGTTGTCCGATAGCTCCTGTTGGTCCGGGAGGCCCAGCTGCACCAGATGAACCCTATTAGAATTATTATTATTAGATTTTTTTATTATTATTATTATTATTATTATTAGATTATTAGAATTAGATATTATGATTTACATTATTGTGCCAGATTGAATCAAAAACAAAATGGTGCAGAAACCAACAATAAAATATTATCTGTGTAAAGCAGAGTGTATTTAACATGGTTTTCCAAATGTGAAAAATAACTACGGTATGTTAGTTGTTACAATAGAAACAATATCAACAATCGGCATGTCAACGACGAATAACAATTGTTTGATAAGATCCGAGGTACCAGTTATACCAAATAGCCTCGAAGAACACATGGCAACCCTATTTTAAAAAACAATGGAAGCATCAAATCCTAATTTTCATTAAATATTATTTTAAAATTTAACTAATAACTATATATTTTATGTAAATATGATCATGTAATAAATACATCCATCCACTCATTATAAATAAAGTACTTCATATTTATTGGACCACAAACAAGAAATATGTGAAAAAGAGCTGCATTAATAAAACTTTACCTGTGGTCCCGGTGGTCCTGCTGGCCCTTCACTACCTTTCACTCCAGCCGGTCCCCTTTCACCTTGAAGACCTCTGTTGCCCGGAAAGCCTTGTAGCCCAGGTGGTCCTACTTTACCTTGCAACCCAGCCGGGCCAGGATCCCCCTAGTAAAAGAAATGTATAATTATTCATGCCTGACTTTTCTCGAATGCAAAGCATGGTAACAAGATCTTGTTGATCCATGCATGGGTACGTGAACATCTGCAGCAGAAGACGTCAATATTAATAGTAAATTGTGCAGCCAATTCAAAGCCAAAAATAACATAGGGTCAGCATCTGTAGCTGATTCCTAAATTTCTTAGCACAATGTGAGAAACACATATTAAGACTTCCAATAACAGGAAATAACGTTACCTTTGCTCCTTCTTTTCCAGAACTTCCGGGGAGTCCAGGTTCACCAGACAAACCCTACAAAAGAAATAGGGTTTATTAATATTATTAAAGTATTGCTGGTTTAATTAATCAAATTAACTTGCATAAATTGCTGGAACAGAAATATTTACAACTGATTTTATTCCAAAAATAAATAAAAAATCCATGCTCACTTGTGGTCCAGGATGTCCAGTCATTCCTGTGGGTCCAATCTCTCCATTGGGTCCCTGAGGTCCCACCACACCTGATGGACCAGGTGGACCTGTTTTACCTTGGAACCCCTGCGAAAGACAAATAAACGAAAAAAGCAAATATAGAGACTACTTCTAAAAATACCAAATAAAAAATATTAAATATTCTACATCATAACAAACTTACAGTGTCACCACGAGCTCCTGGGTGGCCTGGCAAACCGTCTTTTCCTGCTGGACCTGGAGGCCCTTTGGATCCTTGGAAACCAATAGGACCAAGAGGCCCAGGTGGTCCTCTTTCCCCAATAGCTCCAGTTGGCCCATCTTGCCCCCTTTCGCCTTTTACACCGGGCTTCCCAGCTACTCCACGAAGACCACGATCTCCCCTTGGTCCCTAAAATAAATTTTGATGTAAAGGATGATCAAGTGTGGTATTACTTTAATCTTTTTAAACAAGTATTGACCAAATCTTCACCAATAATCGAAGCTAACTGAATTATTCTATTTTCTTACCCGTGGACCTCTTTGTCCTTGATCTCCTGCTTTTCCAGATGGTCCCTGCGAGTGATGAAGAATAGAATCAGATACAAAATTAATTTATGTTTCATTGAAACAAGGCATCATACAAAGAAAGTAAATAACGCAACCATATTGGTTTAAGTTCTCAAGCTAGCCTGACTTATCATAAATCTTATTTGTTTGATACTTTACTAATGTTAGGAACTGCTCTAGTATTTCATAGAATCACACTGTAGAAATAAAATCAGAAAACTTCATTTTGCTCGAAATTCAAATTCTAATAAAAACTAATTTATAAATTGCCATACAAAAAGGAAAACGATTATTATATTTCCACATCTTGGTGGCAGAATTTGATTGTCTTCTCAACAATTCTATAAACAAAAATATGATATGTTCCGAAGAACAATTAATTATTAATAGTAGTTTAAATGATTTGAGTATTACATTATTATTGGAAGGTTTCAAGGTATTGTGAATTTGTGATTCAATTTATGAATTAACATATAACACAATTAGAAACTGGTGAAGGAAGATTCGAAAGTGACTTGGTTGTTGATCATGCTATGTTAATTGATGGTATATTGCTAATTCAGTGGGTTAGTATCACAGACTCAAAAATTCTTACCCTGCCTCCTTTGGGCCCGTTCAAACCACTTCTGCCTGATGATCCTTTGGATCCCTTTCAATATTAAATGTAAATTAATAGAGGTATAAAATAAGCATGTTACCTTTTCTCCCTTTTCCCCTTGTAAGCCTGGTTTTCCATCCGGTCCAATCTCACCCTGTTATATGATAAGCAGGATAAAAAATTAACATAGAAACTAAGAAATCCTCTTTTCTTCAAATCCCTAATCAAAATTTGATACAAAAAATGAATCCATTACATATCCAAATATTAAGATATATTCAAACCTTTATTCCTCTTCTTCCGGGATAACCTTGCATTCCAGTTACACCAACATTTCCCTGAAAAGTATATGCTAATTAGTATAAGCTAATTAATGACATCTAATAGGGTCATAATAGTTATCAGTAAATTTAGGTGTCGCTGACAAGTTAAACAAGTTAGTTAATGACTTTAACTTTATAGTTTAGTTGCGGTTCCTTGTATATTGCAGTTGAAATGTTGTATTTGTTATTTTTTTTTTCACACAATTGATTTGTTTTTTATGTTTATTTGTACAATATTTCTTGCACGACAGAAATAACTAGTTGAATCTGAATAAGAGGTAGGATTGTCTGATATTTTTATGAGGAAAGCTGGAATGAATCAAGGAAGGAATTCAAGCAATCAGATAAGGACACAATGTTTGTGTATTTGTGATACTTACTTTTTCTCCTTGTGTTCCAGGAGGTCCAAGTTCCCCTCTTTGACCTTCCCTTCCCTAGAGAATAAGTAAGAACAAATTATGATATTAGATAAATATAAAACATACATTCGAGATGAATTGGATGATTCAATTTAAGAATAATGTAAGTTTGATTGTAAACTTTTTGTGGTAGTATGTCATACGATATATGCTGCTGTATTGGATTCCATCATGATGTATACAATTAGAAGTATCAATTGTACAGAATAAGTGATCTTCAATTTTTAATTCATTTTCAAAAAACTATCTTGGCCGTTTCTGATTGCCGTAACTTTGTTTGATTAATCTTTCAAATTAACTATTATAATGAACCTTCAAAAATGATTGATAACTAATGACATGACTTCCATACCTTTGATCCATCCTGACCATCTGCTCCACGAGGTCCTGGAGGTCCCAAAACACCCTAAATCAATTTTAGTGAGTTTATAAAAGTTAATCATATTTAAATACCATAACAATACAGGTTATTACAGGAAATGAAAAGTAGAAAGCATGCCACTTTTATATAGATTAAACTGAACTGATTGTTTAATAGCAAATTATAATAAATAAAAAACTACTTCTAATTTTAAAATACTCAAAATTAGGAGTAAAGAAGTAGAGCATATGTAATGTTGTAGGTACAATTTAACTTTGCATCAAATATTTTGTCCGTATTTTGACATCAAGTATTAACTTAAACAGCTAGATTTTTCATAAATTACAGCATAGACTTGCTCATAAGAGGTTTGTTACTGAAAACATACCTGATCTCCTTTTGGTCCCATGTCACCTTTGAACCCAGAAAGACCATCACCACCCTGGTATAATAAAGTGAAAGTATTAGTTATAATCACCTATTCATATCAATGTAAAGCAAGATTATCAAATCCACAAATCAAACATAACATATATGATAGAAATATCAAATTCGTGGACAAAAATAATGAATAAAGTCATTTTAAATTCAATGTAGTTTTCACTTCACCTTTTCCCCTTTGTGTCCCTTGGGTCCTCTGACGCCCGATTCACCCGTCACTCCTCTTGAGCCGGGAAAACCTTGGGGTCCTTGTCCTCCTGCTGGTCCCTGAAAATTGAAATTTATAAATATTGTGTGATATAGGAAAGATGTTGGGACACAAAAAATTTAATATTCGTTAATTCCACTATTATATTTTTTTGATAATATTCTAACCTGAACCCATTGCAATCGATCATACATATAAGATTTTCAGAGATTCAGATATTACTGAATATTATAATATTATAAATATAATATAGTGATACATCTACCCGATTATATGAATAACTGCAGATGAATCTACAATGTAGAATAATAAGAAACAAAGTAGCTCAGAGAACTGAGTTCTGAGGAATTAATAAATAGTGCCTGGTATTATGGGACTGAGTGGAACATTCCCAGCAATCAGAAAAGAGGATGCAGATATATAGCAATTCAGGTAAAAAAAATTAGAGATGATTTAAACGATTTCAATTATTCAGGTTAACTTGGCATCAGTGAAACTGGATGTTTTGAATTAACACAAAGAAAACCAGAGGTGCTAAATATAAATAAAATTAAACAATTTTGGTGAAACTTGACCATAATAAGAATTTTATTATTCTAAAGCAGAATCATAGATGTATACAACGTGATATCATCCTTCATTGAAAAAGTTTTTATTAGTTGATAAACACATTTTGTTCTTCTCCTGGTCCTATCAATGTTCATTTCTGAATTTTTTTGCACAAACAGAATTTTCTATCTGTTAGTGTGTAGCAAGATTTCTGATTTACCAAAAATATAACTCAAAAAAGTGTATCACAGTCATTCATCTCGAATTTTTTTCGAAACTTCATTGTGAATGCTTATTTTATCAGTATATAGCCAATCAAATTAACACTGTACAAGATGCAGAAAATATGCATACCAATGATCCCTTCGCTCCTACAGTCCCTTCTTTTCCGGGATGACCTGCTACTCCGTCTTGGCCTGGTAATCCAGGCAAACCTGATTTTCCAACTGGTCCTTTGGCTCCTGGGGGTCCCCATGTGGCCTTGGGGTCCTGTAACACCCTAAAGTAACATGGTGATATTTAGTGAATTTTATAAATAGTTGGTTGTATTCCTAGGTATTGTTTGGTCCAACTATTGCATATTTGATTTATCTTAAAAAAAATTAAAAAAGTACCTGTGAACCTGGTGGTCCCTGCTGTCCCGGGGGACCTGGAATACCTTGTGGTCCTAAACTTCCCTTTATACCTGCCGGACCATCAACACCCCTGGGACCCTGTAAAGAAAAAAACATTGATGGCAATATAACTTTAAATGTTGCCTAGCCAAAGTCTTCTATTCATTTTTATAAATTTTACAAACAACATGATAAGAAAAATAATGCCAAATAAAATGCATAACATGTCCCAATCAGACATAAACTGAAATTTGAATAATATTTCAATTTGCATTAGCCATGATGATAAAAACTTTTGTAATAGACTACATTGCAATGAATTTTTTTACTAAAATACATACCATCGGTCCTCTAGTTCCAGGTGAACCTTTATGTCCAATTAGCCCACGTGGTCCCTAGAAAAAGCAAATATATATTAAATTATAATAGATGTGATCTATTGCTTGAAAGTACTGTTCGAACACTATTTGGTATTTTGATATACAGAAGCCATAATCTGATTGTGTAAGACAAATCTGCATTTTACAACCAAAAGCTCCGTTTTAAAAGTTATTTTCTTGTGAGAAATCGTTCGTATTATTGAATGAAAACTCACTTGCTGGCCTGGCAATCCCCTGGGTCCTGCTTCTCCTGGTTTTCCGTTGGAACCTCCAGGCCCTTGAAGTCCTTTGGGTCCTCTTTCACCCGGCAATCCCTGAAAACAGAAAGTTCACTGTATTATTTAACTGATTTTTTTGTCAGAAAGCTATAAAGTTACATAGAATGTAAAAATACATGTGAACTTTAATTAATCTACACATGGCAATTTTTATAGAATGAATGTAACATCAACTTACCCTATATCCCTTGTGGCCTGGAACTCCTGGCATTCCATTGTAACCTCTTTCACCCTGACAAAAATTTTGAGATTTTATTGTACTTTATTCAAAGCTCCTTCTAATAATGTGTACAAAAAAAAATATATTTACCTTGTTGCCAGGAGGCCCTGATATTCCTCTGGTTCCTGGTGCACCTGTTCGACCCTGCGAAATGTTTTATTCAGTTAGCATTTTCGAATACAAAATGGATTGAATACCCTTTCTCCCTTTGTACTTTCATCACACTATTATTCAATATATATACACTGAATTTAGTTACCATTTCAAACATCAATCCATATTTATATCATCCACTTACAAAAGCAAAATCAGACCTAATATAAAGGGTGTCAGTAAACTCTGGACACATGAAATAATTACGCTAGATATTTTAGTATACAAAAAACAATATTATTTTACCAATCACTATTTATTTATATTTAAATAACATCTTCATTATTTGAAATGCAAATGTTAACACATTTTAAAAAATTTGCACGATTTAAATAATCTACATTGCCATCAATTTTGGTACAATCATTTTAATTTATTGAGTTCAGTGAATTTGATTCCTGTCACACTTTCTCTTTCAGTATAGCACAGAAAAAGAAATCAAGCAGACTAAGGCCTGATAAATGAGGAAACCAGTTCACATCATCCTGCCTTCTAATCCAATTGGGAAAATTGTCACTCAGCCAATTGATTACCTTTGCCATAAAATGGGCAAGAGCGCCATCCTGTTGAAATCACAATGGAAATCCTTCACCAACCATATAAAGTTGGTCATTTAATTTATCTTTCAGTTGAGTGACAATTTTCCCAATTAAATAGGAAGACTAGGGTAAGTGGAGTGGTCTCCCCGTTCACCAGACCATATTTCACTCAATTTCTTTATCGGGATATGCTAAAGGAGAAAGTGTACTCAATGAAAATTACAAATTTAATACACTTGAATCAATGAATAAATACGAGAATGTGTCAAAATTGCTAGCAATTGGCAATGTAGATTTATTGCATCAAGTCCATGCAAATTATGTGAAATGCATTAACATTTGCATTGCAAATGGTGGAGATCATGTTGAACATGTTTTATAAATTTAAAAAAATAGTGAAAATAATATTAATTTTAATTTCATACCGGTGGCGGTACTAAATATATTGAATTATCTTATGTGTCCAGACTTTAGGGACACCATAGCATAATAATGATTTGTAAAATTATGCAAAAATCTTCCTACTGGACGATATACGAAGTTTTAATTAAAAAAGGAACCAACTAGTTTGTTTTTTGTATAAAATTGGATTCAAAAATTTTATTTCACTAAATAACTCATTCCCAGCAGAGTACGTCATGATACAAAAAATATCAAGTATAAGTCAGATTGATGGACCATTTACATTGTCACTTAGTTGGTATACATACCCACTAAAAGTTAATTCGAACTTACAGATTTTCCCTCTTTTCCAGGTTGTCCAGGTGGTCCTCTTGAACCTCTAATACCCTAAAGTTTATAAAAAATTTTATCTCTTCAATTCATGTACATGAGACATAAATTTCATAGAAAGCATAAGCATGGAATATATTATATAACTCCATCAAAATCAAAGAAGGTTATGCACAGTTACATCTAACTTCACTTATTCACTAGTGCGTATAAGTGCCATTAGTTGACATAGACGGTTAATATTAAGTAAGTTGAGAATAATAACTTACCATCGGGCCAGGATCTCCTGGTTCACCCTTGATACCTTGCAGACCCGGTACACCCTACAATATCAATAGGTGAATAAATGATGGACACGCAAAATTAGCAAACAATTATGGCCTAGCATCAATCTTCTATGCGAATGTGCATCGCCATAACAGTCATGCTAGTTTAAAATCTAAAAGATTGTCTTTCTCGGAGTAAACTTATCTTTTACATCTGTGTTACAATACAATCATACCTTTTTGTAAACTACAATCAACATGATTGGAATTTCATATTTCTCCAATATTTACTTTTTATTTATATTTACTCCAAATTACTTTTAGCTTCTTTGAAATACATAATAGACAGAAAGTCAGAAAACATAAAACAATATCACACTTACAACAGGGCCTGACGCTCCAGGCAAACCAATGGGCCCTTGAAGACCTCGAAGTGCAATCTGAAAATAAAACAAAATATAATATTCAAACTGTCGAATATGTTGAAAGTTTGATTGAGCTGTAGATTGATATGTTATAGACTGACATTTATCGAAGTTTTTATATTCTGAAAATCGTCAATAATCATAATTTACTTACTCTGGCTTGGGATATCATCATTTGTGCTTGTAGCTCTGAAGCCGCAAGCCCTCCTGGCCCTTTTTCCGATCCAGATGTAGGCATACGAAACTAAATAAAAAATGGTAGAACTAGAATCGAGTCAACAGTACACCAAGTCTGTAATGTTGTTTTGATATGACAGATGGGAAATATCAAATTTGTGGACAAGTCCTTAATGTGAAAAGGACTGGGAACCGATTTCACAAAAACTCATCCGCAAATTGAATTTATTCAACAACACTTTAACTTACATTCGGGCAATAGAGTGTACGAATTTTTTAGTTTTTACCTGAATTACACAGTATTTCAGACAATGAAATTGCAATATTGTGCAAAAAAACGAATGTATTCATATGACAAGGCGCTTCAGCATGTTTCAACTTTCAAGAATGACCGAAAACATCTGTGTCAAATTTCATCTTACAATTTCTCTCACTAAATCTTCAGGTAAATCCAAAATAATAGACAACTCCATCAGTTAGTAATAACTATATAATAAGTTAACCAATAAAACATAATTCATTAAATAAAATGTTTCAAACTCTTTATTATTTTTATTTCATTTTTATTTGTCATTTCATGATATTATGTCTTTATTTCATCATCCAGTTGCTGCTGGAGCTGCATCAGGTACTTCTTGGTCTTGGAAAAATCCTTCTGGACAGTAACATCCGTATGAATAGTATGCAAACACAGCGATCAAAAAGACAACTCCAACTGAGTAAAAAAAATCAACCAATCCCGCCCCACCATCTTCAGGGTTATCCATTGTTTAAATTTGTTGAAATATGGAAAATTACAATTTTTTATTCATTTGTGTTCAATAGTCAATTGTGATGTAATAATGGAATACTTGATAACATACCCGGGATCATAATTTGTTGTCCTGCAGGCCCAGGAAGTCCTTTCTGTCCTGGAATACCATCTCTACCAGGCTCTCCCTAAAAAAAATTGAAAAAACAGTCAAAGATATGTGAAAATGATCAAAAGAAATATTCAACGATCAAAAAAGGTATAATGGTTGAAAAGGCATATCTTATATTGCCAAGGAAGTAGGTTGCAAGTCAAATGATATGAAATTTAAATTTTAAATCATGCAAAAGAATGAAACTTTATACTTATACTCACCCTTTCACCATGTTCACCAGGTACACCAGGTGCTCCTTGATACCCAGGAGGTCCAGGATCTCCCTTAGGTCCCATTGGTCCAGGAGGACCAGGAATGAACATTCCCTGAAGAATAAAAGAATAGATATAGATCGCTTTAAACAAGATCTGCATTATATTTCAAATTCTAGAAAGGCCACGTAGGTATCGGGCGATTGTCCATTATAATAAAATGCAACAAAATATATTATTTCAGGGCCAACCAGGGTTGTCCAAAACGAATCGAATATTCGAATATCCAAGTATTCGAATACCTTTTCAGCTGATTTTGGTGTTTCGTTTTCGCAGGAATCTTCGTATTTTGTATTGTAATGACGTTAAATAGAATCGGGCACTTTGATTGTTTGTATTTTGTGCGAGCATGCGTCTCATGTTGTTGCGACACTTTTGCATGGTTGTAACATTGCCCCCATTGCCCTACAAGGCTTCTAATTTCAACATTCATTTCCATTACGTCGAAAATTAAAAATTATTTAATGTCGAAATTGTTATGATATCAATAAATTGTCGCAAGACGGAAAAAACAAGTCCATTTATTTGGAAAAATATTCATACTTTTTTGGCTTTTTGGCAAATAATTTTGATGTTAAAATTTTTCGACTTTTTATTAGGGTGATTTTCTGTCGTCCAAAATATTCATATCCATCACCTTTACCAGCATATGAAATTATGCCCGATTAATTTAATTTTGTTCAACGCAACATCAATCTGTGGACATGAAATGTGTGGTATAAACTGCCCGGTTATAATTAATTTCTGATTTCTATTTTCGTATTTACAAAATAAAAAGTATTATTTTATTAATTCAAAATACACCAGCGATCTGCGGACTTAGGATGTGTGGTAAAGTGTCTGAATATAATTAATTTTTGATTCGTATTTTCGGACACTTCATTTCTCATGTTTCAAGTTGTTCCATTTCAGTTATATTTATGTTGATATCACATGTCAGTAAAATCAGCAATTAATAAGTGTTACTCAAGATTGATTCTTACAGGTTCCATCACAGCTTGATCGCCTTTTTGCCCCTTCGCTCCTTTTGTGTTGTCGCCACTGCCATCTGTTTCAGATGAATCTCCAACCATCTCCTCTTCCTCCTGGAGTTCTAGTTGGAATTATGAGACTATCGAAGTCCCTTCCAGACCCACCCTGAATTTAAAAAAATTAAAATTGGTATGTTTTATGGCAGGGCGGATGCAAGATGAGATAACTGCCACAAAGTTTGATGTGACTGAGAAATCTAATATCAAAAAAAAAATCTTTTTAGAGCCATTGTTTGATCTTGGTCAAAATCAAAATGGATTTTATCCTATTTATGCTTGACATGCGTTAACACCAGCTATATTAAGAGCAGGTGTACATTACAATTTTGAAATAGTACTCACCACTTCAACTTCGATCTCAGGTGGAGAAAATCCCGCAGCCATCTGTAGACAACCTGGCGTAAAGTCTTGGCACATGAAACCGGCATGGGTTGGATCATTCGTCATTTCAAGTTGGTAAATCGATCCCTGAAATACAGAAATATTTGTAGATTGCAGAAATGGAACTAATATGATCATCATTAATTTGAAAAACTACACAAAAACACTGACAAGAAACTGATGTAAAATTAAGAAAACAAATTACTTTGAATCCAACATTTGACTTCCCAGGATCACCAATGATTAAATCACCATCGCCATTCAGCAAAGTTTTGAGGTTTTTCCTTGTGATGTTCGTGTCCATTACTAAGTCACAGTCAACATAGAATTGCACTCGATCATTGTATACTGACCAAGCTACCCGGTGCCATCTAAAAATAGCACAAGCAGATTTGAATGATTTGAAGTCAATTGCATTCAAAACTATCAAGAATTGGAAATATAAACAACTGTTGGCTCAACAAAATATTGAATCCACCATTCCAGCTACTTTCAAAATATATTAAAATTCAACAATATTAGCAATGTGAAATATAAATTGGCAAAAGTATCGAATATCATCTGTTACTGACTCTTTCGATGAAAATGCCACAGGATCCTTCTTTGTTCCAAACACAGCATTTCTTTGCTCCACAACCGGTCGTTTCATGTCCTGATAATAAAATTCAGGTTGCGGTTCCAACTTGAACACCAAGTTGAATCCATTCATCTTCATGACGCGAGCGACAATAGATGTGCACTCTTCTGATTCTTGTATGGTTTGATTGTAGCAAAAAATACTGAACTCATCCGGAAAAAAACCTGTTGGCATAAGAATTCAAAACAAAGAATTTGCTGGTTAGTTTCTCTAAAAGAAAGCTGATTAACTGTGATGAGAATACTAAGGTCTACTACTAAGTCATTACAATTATGATTTCCAAAAATATTCAAGTAAACAGCAAACAGCATACTATATTAAGAAGACACAAGTTTCAACTCCAGAGGACAATAAATAAAGTAAGGATAACGAGAGTAACAAATTTAAGAGTATCAATGTTTGAAGGGAAGTGAATGAATGACGCAGCAGTGTATTGATAAAAGATTGAGTTATTGGAGAAAGAATTATATAAATGAAAAGCTTGAATATCTTGAGTGAAGGAATGGAAGACAAACAGCAGTTCTGTAGATTAATTAACAGTAATTTTGATAGAAACAAGTGTAGAAAGCCTGTTCAGATAATCACATCTCATTGAAGAGAAAGATTTATAAACCCAAATGTTGGCAATTTGTTGGAACAATGTAATATTTAGGTCAACTTTGAACATTACAACTGTTTTATTACAAAGTTAATTGATTGCCAAGTACAATGTGTATATTTTTAGGGTCAAAATTTCTATCAATTTCATATAGCATAAAAAATTACCCTCTGGAAAAATTTCTCGAGTTTTAACTGTCTTCGATTGTCCCGAAGAAAACTCATAGGAATCTAGATATCCGTTGTCACAATAACCCTCAGTTCTTGGAAGATTGGAACTACTCAAGTTGAATCTTGATATGAAGTCAATCCGTTCTGTAATGCAATGATGGTGATTGGCATTATAAATATTTTGGTCACCTATCTGTGATGATACTATATTTAATCATACTTTTCGACTGCAGAGGATGCATTTCCTTCCTTTATACTTACACATTGGAAAAACCTAAAGGTGGGCGGTTTTGAAACAGATTTTACTTTTACGACTTACTGTTTCCCCAAAATTAATTTTGGGAGTGAAGACAGCCAAATTCAGAATAACAAACAATATGGCGAATATTGTCAAAATTGACAAAAAGTAAATATATATAAAAAACTAAATAGGACAGAAGGGTATAATTTTGATGGTACCACGTAGTAAAACTAAAGTTTGATGGCATCTTCCAGAAGGATTTATCAAATGACTAAGCATAAAATGTGGCGCATCATTCGAACATGTATACAATTGGACATTAATAGACCGCCCCCAATGTTAAATAATTCACAACTAAGTTCAATCAATAGTAGATAATATGGGTGAATCAAATATTAAAGTATATATATAATTAAATTAATGTATGAGACAAATATGTACCGACTATTCAAAAGATAACTTAAATAAACTAATAGCATCTACAAGCAATCGTGGAACAATCGTGTGAAAAACACGTTCATGAGTTGTCGTCATCACCCCTTTTTCGTGCGTTCTTAGAGCCAGTGAATTGCGCCAGAATTAGTTCTCATTCCAAAATCATGTCTACGGCGGAAACCACTCAGAATGAGCGAGTCATGCGAAAACCACAACTAAGCAAAAGCCCAATTTTTAGAAGCAGCGAGGCATGCCTCGCTGACTACTAACATTAAGAAGGGGCAAACTGAGAAGTGTTTGTATCACAAGTCTATCACAAAAACACATTCGTGCATATCGATTTTCAAGAAAAAAAAAATTTCGACCACAAACATCATCGTCAGACGCATTCGGTTTCCTAACACAGAGTTTGTGGCGCCATAGAATGTATTTTTTCAGTGAAGGAAATGATCACGTAGAATCGATTGTTCACATTTTAGGAACAGCGATCCTCTGGCTGGATAAACTTGCGAATAAAGATAAAAGTTTGAATTTCCCACATTTTATAGAAAGGAATATTAGCCAAATCGATATGTCTGCAAAACGTTCATCGACCACACAGATCGATAATCGATCCATGTTGTCGTCCCTCGTCTCTCTTGGGAAAATACGAAATCCCAATCCGACGCGAAATGTCTATTTCTAAATTTTTAAATTTATATCGGTTCCAAGACTGCGCAACAATGCACGCGTCACGTGCCTATTACGTTTAAAATATATATAAACATATGCATAAACCCTTTGATTTTCATGAATTGATTTGGAATAAGGATATACGAAAATGGCAAATGCTATGTCACATGTGTTAAAAATAAAATTTCACCGATATGGTAAGAGTTCGTTTGAGCAAGTCACGAGATGAATTCTTGAAATGAGGGAAAAAATGAATGCAAAAGACACAATAGGGTATTTCGATAAAATGAAATTTTCAAATTCTAAACCTTGATTTGACAAATAAGACGACGAATAAAGTCAAATGTGAAATGAAAATAACTTACCGTAACCCGCCACGACTTGCAGACAAAACAACAGACATATGAAGCTATGCATCCAAGCTGCTGAATTAGGCAGTCGAAGTTTCGCGCGAGTCCATTTCCAATATTGTGACGAAACAATGGACGATGTGCTGGTGCCCATTGTGTCGTCAGCAACTAAACGATTCTCGCCTCCGTGGTTGGCGGACGATACGCCCGTCTTCAGGCTATCTGCCGCGCTTCTATAGGTTGTGTTCTTCCTGGCGCACGTAGTTGTGTTTCTTCGACCGCCGCGCCCAGCCTAAATGTTCTTCTTTTCCGAGGCTAAGTTCTCTTGATGGCGCCTTTCCCTCTTCCTTCTCCGCACCCTCTGACGAGAGGGAGAGAAAGGCTAAATTGGTGACACCCTCGTTTTGCTTCGCGGTATACCTTTTTCTTTGCGTGCGTGCGAAAATTCGCTCGGCGGCGCGACAGCTTGTCTGCTGAACTGCTTATGGGTTGCAATTTAAGTCTTTGTGTTATTTGCCAAGTTTAGCAATCACCGCAAATGCGGCTTCAGTTCGCAGACTCTCTCTGCATGGCTGCTAATATTCACTTCACAACAACAACTGCAAAATAACGAAGAAACAAGGATAGATTGAGCAGTTAGTCTGACTTTGAAACACAAACCCCAAATAACTAATTCCAGGGATCGACCCAATAATACACCAAAATGAAACGCTACATAACGGCTTCCCAGCGAACCATGAATTGAAAGACACCAAGTAGGCTTATAGGCGCGGCCAACAAGCGAAACTTATCGAACAAGAATACCACTAATATCTATACAGCTTTTAGGTATCCGTACTCGCGTACGACTTCTGTCCTTTGACAACTCATCTCCAGTATGACGAATTTAAATCTCTCATTGCCATTCATAAACCAACACAATATTTAGGCCGTATAAATATCGTGAGTTATTGTCAAGTCGGTGTGATATTGAAAGGATCAAACATCGAATTTACATAGCAAGCAGACATGCTGATTAAGCCCTAATCAGCAAAAGAGTTTTACAAACAAATTTTATAATTTCTTTTGTTGAGGTTCTTCAACAGCCATGTCATATATTTTTATAAATTGTTACCAAATACTATGCAGGCGTTTGTTTTTATTATAAACACCAACGAAAATGTTTTAATCTTTTTACAATCCCGTTACATCATTTATTCATTTAAAAAAGTCAAAGTGAATAGCGCCAAATCCGACACAATAAATTTTAGCGAGGGACCGACAATAGCTTTCCAGTTGTTACGTTGTATGCAGATTCAATGATAAATTCACTATATGTAAGCAAGATATCTTTCAGCTGTGGAAGAAACATTTTGGAAAAATTTTCAACAAAGAGATAACCTGTTTGTTCAGTTACAGACATGTAATTGAAAGTAATAAAGGAAACGATTGGTTGCTATCAAGAGGTCCTCTACTTCCTCGTTTTTTTTATATACTAGATACATTGGAGTTTGACATTCATATCATATTTTCAAGGATACTTTGTTAACAGTTGAGGTTTCGTGAAACTAACTACCTTTCCTTGCTCTCTATGCCTTTGCGCATGTGGATCCGTATGCGTATTACGCAAGGATGCTGTAGCAAAAGTGTAAATGGCTATTCTATTCAATTCAAAAGTCTTGCTGCACACGAACACAAATATATTTCTGTAACTACCGAGGTCAGACGAAACGTTACAGAAATATATTTGTGTTCGTGTGCAGCAAGACTTTCGAATTGAATAGAATACTTTGTTAATACTTCGTTTACAAACATTCGAATATAATTTTCAGTGAACTTTTTTTTGAAAACGCAAATATAGTTGCATCTGCTCTATTCGAGTGAACTGCAATGAGTGATAATTGATAGCCTCCATCAATAATATTTCGACATATTAGTTGTTCAAATAACCTTGTAGGCCCTGCCCAGTTTATTTTAGTAACGTTGTATTGGTGGGTGGATATTCCAACAATTATTGAATTTTATCCGGGAAAACGAATTACATTTAGTATCCATAATTGCAAAGCACAAACAAACGTATTTTATCGCATAAGGTTGAATGACGGAATTGAAATTTTTCATGCTTCCAAGAGCGATGTGCATTTTAAACGCCCTACATATCTACATAAAACATTCATACTGGTGGAAGTGAATTAAATAATTTCGCGTGAAACCATTAATGTCGATTACACAAAGTTGCGGACTTCGCACATTAACGGTCGGCCCATTGTTTAAATATGACGTTCGTTGTATAATTGAACTAAAAACGGCACCGAACTGGGTCAGCCTAATTTCCCTGCAATAATTTAACGACCATTGTTTCTTACTATATTACCCATTAGATAGCGAACCATGATTAAATTACTTATTGTTCTCTTATTGCAATTAGGTCTCGATACGAATTTTTTCTTTAATATCTCTATTGTTGGCCGAGCATGGATCAGACACCAACTGATAACAATCACAGAGTGTGGATTTATAGAGTAGATTTATATTCGAGTGGCAATATAAAGTGTATTTTCCCAACGTATTTTCAAAAGGTCACAGACTGCGATACCATTTTGTTTTCGTGCAAGCAATGTAGAAACTGTTAAATACGGCGCAGATCTTAATTTTTAAATTTTCAATAAGAAGGTTATTGGAATTTATCGCTACGCCAAAATCCTATCCACGTTACCATTTCGAGTAGCAGGAGGAAAAGTGGTAAAGTGAAATAAGACATAAAATATCCATCTCGCCCTGCAAATACCAATTTATGAGCTGAAAGTTTGCCCAATGATAGCAGTAAATGATTCAATAACTATATATATTAACTTCAATCAATGACTAAAAACGGTACTCCTGTATAGTGTGTGTACCAAGTTAGGGTTAGGCCATAATTTTATTCCGATTTTCCTTATTTTAGTTCTATTACGAGTTCGGGGACTGTCTGTGTTAGCCAAGTGAAAATACCCCCTACCCATAGTAATCAGTCCCCTTACACAACTTGATGTAAAGTAGACGAACAAAATTAATTACCCCCATATTGGTACACACACTTCTGGAGCGCCCTAAAAACATTTGCCATTTTAGACTAGTTTATAACACAGATGTTCCGAAAATGCCTATAATTGTTATTACGTTCATCAACTAGGGCTGCGTATAGTTAACCGGTTTATCGTTCAATCGTTATTAGATGATTGCCGGTGACAATTAGTTTGGATGTTTAACTATCGTCCAAGGCGCAACTAAGATTTTCCTATTTAATTCTCATAATAAAAATTAATTTGCATGTATTATTTATTATCTTGTGATCTTCAATTCATAATATCAATAATTGACTTATGCCAATAAAATACCTTAAAAAAAACTTTGACTGCTAGAAGAAGAAATGTGTCAATACAAAATTCATAAGCAGTTACCGATCAGAATACAGTGCCCTTGATTCAATAAAAATCGCATGATATTCGAAACGTGCGAACTTGGTCAAAAGGATATAGTTTCCGAAATCCGGAGGTATTGGCGAATGCTTCGAACTTACAACGCCCCCTGTCGCATCGAAAATACAATTAAACATTTGTTAACTGAGTAACATTTAATATCCGAATCAGTATTAAAATACTACCTGATATTTAAATGATTCGCTTCTACTCAAAATTTTCCATATTCCCTATTGCTTGATGAATAAATATACGCAACTCAATCATTATATTGATATTCAATCATGATTCGACCGAGAAAATCAGTTGAGGAGTTTTGGCGTTAGATAAAAAGCAAATAACATTTAATTAAAGAGATCATAAAGTCGTACATGTAAAAATTTTAAACAGTTAATATATTTCCATGTGTGAATTGTGCCAACTTCTACGATATATATATGATCCAACTTTTTATCTTAATTTTCAAGCAGCTGGCGTATCGTGCTAAGCGTTGGGGGCCCGCTGAGTAATTTATTATCCGCAGGTTTGAGTCCGTTAGTGATAATAATGTGTGAGAGAATTGCTGGAATCGCGTGACGTTGATCAGCTACGGCTTTCAATACCAATTAAGTCCCCAGGTCTACTGACTGGCAAAATCATATCTTATAAGATTAGGTTATTTATTTGCCATCTCATCTATATATATTATCATTCGAGAGAAGAACTTCTTACGTCAATGTCTTACTTCTAAATGCTACAATTTTGAACTTAATTAATATTCTCCATCCACAAAAGCTGATCTTCTAGCTCGGCTACCAAATCGGCTTCGGTAACAACCACAATATATACTAAGAATAATAGCAAATAGAAAGCATGAAAAGTGGCGTACAACAATGTTTCAATAACTTCTATTGTAAAGAATGTTGTAATTTTTATATACATTCAAACACAAGTTGGTGTGTAATTTTCAAGCGCTCAATTGCTCTTATATATTACCTCGTGATTGAAAACATGGAACGTCTTTTTACTGGGGGAGGATTACGCAGGCGGGTAATTCAACTCTAGGTTCGAAACTAGGTGAAATACAAAGACAATCCAAAATTTCTATACTAATTTGAAACTTGGGTTAGAGAGTGAATTTCAAATATTGGGCCTTCAATGTAGTACGATACAAAATACCGCGGCTCAAATACGTTTATGCCGCGTTGACAATATAAAACTAATTTTGAACTCTGCGTCAACAAACGTATGCCGGCCGATGCCTGAGGGGAAAATTGAATGGCGAAGAAATGAATTGCATGATAAATGTCCTAAGAATCAATATAAGCAGTTTATTTTTGCTTGAATATAGATAAATTCACATGAGCCACAACCACAACCACTACAGTTAAAAGAAATATATTCTTGACAAAATTGCAGAATACTAATATTAGAAATCGCAAGAGTGAACATGAAAGGTAAATACTGAAGAATCGTGGGTTAGTTGTTCAATTGGAGGCCCAAGCCTTTAAAGTAAGTACAGCCACATTTCTACTTTCTGAGCCCATGTTTATTCGGTGCCTCTTGAATACGCTGTAAGAATCATTGTGATTCAGTAAATTAAAATCGCCTAAGTTACAAATAAAGTAAAATATTTATACTGGTCTATGCGAAACACTGATATTTACCAACTACTCTATATCTGTACATTAACACGAGCGCGGCTCTTCAGGTTTCTGCGTGCTTGCCTAATTTTTCCAAGTTACTTCTGCTGAACCAGAGAGCACTTCGTCATTTTGAGCCCTGATAAAAACGAGAATTGTTTTTTTTTACTTAGGGCGTAACTCATTCTCGCCCCCATTCGGTTTGGATGCCCAAAATGAAGCATTTAAAATTACTATATTAAAAACTTGATTCGCATTATAGCAGATGTGGCTATATAGGAAATATAGGAATATAGGAAAATTCCCAAACCTAAAGACTGCATATAGACTGCATGCAACTCTAAAAATTGCATATGAACTTAATTCAGCGTTACTCTAACTTGGTTCCCTTATCATGATTTTATTGAAATATAATTTCAATCTAGAATAATATATATGAAAGATATTAAGTCGAAATGTCCTCATGTGATTTCGGTACCTACTGAATGATACGATGCTCGACATATGTGTAGTGCTAAAACATGTGAGGAGAAACTCATATTTTATAAACTATTTAATTATGTTACAAGACGACATGTTCTCAATATAGGTACGATTAATTAGTAGGGAGGGTGCTTTTATGGTGTTTATTCAGTCGGAT